TGATATATAATAGTATAGTATAATATAATAGTATGATAATAGTAAGATTATCATATCCCAAATTTAGTCTTATATTATAATAAGTTTTATATCATAATAAATAAGCGTAGGTATTAATAAAATTAATATCAAAATCAATTTATGTTATTAGTGGATATAAATTATGTACTCAATGATTTCCTTATACTTATAATTGATTAGGTTTTCACAATATTATTGCACAAAGTCAAATTGGACCTTTGTGCCCCGCCCTACCATATATTTAACTTCCCGTAGGGCAAGTTATAGTAATTGCAAAAAATCGAAAATGAAAGTTTTTATAAATCTTTACGTTTCAAAGGTTTCTGAACATTTTGGCATACCTTAGAAAAAATGGATGTATGTGTGTGTGTGTGTTTGTGTGTGTGCGTGTGTGTGTGTGCGGAAAACAAATTTTCGTCGACAATTTCGGGAACACCGATCAACCGATTTAAATAATTCAAAAAACATTCGATTCATATTGATAAGGAGACGTGCTGATTAGGTTTTGGCGAAGGCAGGTCTAGCCGTTCCGAAGATACGGGGCAAAAAGTGCCAAAAACGGTAACTCAGTTTTTGAGAGAACGGAACGTCCGATTTTAATAATTGAAAAATCATTTTACTTGTATTGACAAGACGAAGAACTGATCAAATTTTCATAAAGGCAGGTCTAGCCGTTTCGGAGATCTAATGAAACTAGCTGTAAGTGGAATTCTGTCTTAAGGCAATTAAGGCATCGTGCCTTAAGGCAAATTGCTGGAACTTCCCGTACCAAATTTTTTTTTTAAAAACGATTAAGATTTTTGAAAAAATTTTACTTCGAAAAAATAAGATTTTTGAGAAACTATATATTGGACAAAAAATTACTTTTTTTTGAAAAAAAAAAATTTTTTTTAAAAAAATGTTTTTTTTTTTTATTTTTTTTTTTTTTGAAAAAAAAATGTTTTATTTTATTTTGACATATTTTGGAAGATCTAAACTTTTTTTCAAAGCAATCGTACTGCTTTAACTGCATAAAGACGAAATATCAAAGCGCGTAAGCGCCGCATCGCCGTCTAACGCGTAAACATTGGTACGGAACCCATAGGAATGTAAAAAAAAATTTATACTTATTGTTAAAATTTCTATAAAATATCTGATAATTTGATGTGCATATGTCTAATGATCATTTTTGACCGCCAAATGGCATTTTTTTTTACTTTTTTTATCGGATCTCCGAAACCGTTAGACCTGCCTTCATGAAAATTTGATCAATTCTTTATCTTGTCAATACAAGTAAAATGTTTTTTGAATTATTCAAATCGGACGTTCCGTTCTCTTAAAAACTGAGTTACCGTTTTCGGCACTTTTTGCCCCGTATCTTTGGAACGGCTAGACCTGCGTTCGCCAAAAACTAATCAGCACGTCTCCTTATTAATACGAATCGAATGTTTTTTGAATTATTCAAATCGGTTGATCCGTGTTCCCGAAATCGTCGACGAAAATTTGTATCCGCACATACATACACACACGCACATACATACATACATACATACATACATACATACACACACACACACACACACACACACATACATCCATTTTTTCTAAGGTATGCCAAAATGTTCAGAAACCTCTGAAACGTAAAGATATATAAAAAATTCATTTTCGATTTTTTTGCGATTACTATAACTTGCCCTACGGGAAGTTAAAAAGTAAACTAGCTGTAAGTGGAATTCTGTCTTAAGGCAGTTAGGGCATCGTGCCTTAAGGCAAATTGCTGGAACTTCCCGTACCAAAAATTTACTTCGAAAAAATAAGATTTTTGAGAAACTATAAATTGGACAAAAAATTACTTTTTTTTTAAAAAAATTTTTAAAAAAAAATTTTTTTTTTAATTTTTTTAAAAAAAAAATTTTTTTTTTAATTTTTTTTTTTTTTTTGAAAAAAAATGTTTTCTTTATTTTGACATATTTTGGAAGATCTGAACTTGTTTTTCAAAGCAATCGTACTGCTGCATAGAGACAAAATATAAAGCGCGTAAGCGCGGCGTCGCTGTCTAACGGGTAAACATTGATACGGAACCCATAGGAAAATAAACAAAATTTATACTTATTGTTAAAATCTCTATAAAATATCTGAAAATTTGATGTGCATATGTCTAATGTTCATTTTTGACCGCCAAATGGCTCATTTTTTTACTTTTTCCTCCATATCTCCGAAACCGCTAGACCTACCTTTATGAAAATTTTATCGATTCTTCATCTTGTCAATACAAGTGACATGTTTTTTGAATTATTAAAATCGGACGCTCCGTTCTCTTAAAAACTGAGTTACCGTTTTCGACACTTTTTGCCCCGTATCTCCGGAACGGCTAGACCTGCCTTCGCCAAAAACTAATCAGCACGTCTCCTTGTCAATATGAATCGAATGTTTTTTGAATTATTCAAATCGGTTGATCCGTGTTCCCGAAATCGTCGACGAAAATTTGTATCCGCACATACATACACACACGCACACACACACACACACACACACACACACACACACACACACACACACACACACATACATCAATTTTTTCTAAGGTATGCCAAAATGTTCAGAAACCTCTGAAACGTAAAGATATATAAAAATTTTCATTTTCGATTTTTTTGCGATTACTATAACTTACCCTACGGGAAGTTAAAAAAATGCCATTTGGCGGTCAAAAATGATCATTAGACATATGCACATCAAATTATCAGATATTTTATAGAGATTTTAACAATAAGTATAAATTTTGTTTGCATTCCTTTGGGTTCCATACCAATGCTTATCCGTTAGACGGCGACGCGGCGCTTACGCGCTTTTACATTTTGTCTCTATGCAGTTAAAGCAGTACGATTGCTTTGAAAAAAAGTTCAGAATTTCCAAAATATGTCAAAATTAAAAAAACATTTATTAAAAAGAAAAAAAAATCCAAAAAAAGTAATTTTTTGTCAAAGTCCTAGTTTCTCAAAAATCTATTTTTTTCGAAGTAATTTTTTTTCAAAAATATTATTCGTTTTTAAAAAAATAATAATATTTGGTACGGGAAGTTCCAGCAATTTGTCTTAAGGCACGATGCCATGCGCCCCACTAGTTGAAATTTGGAATAATGGAACTCGCTTTTGAGATTACATACACAGTGAATGTTTAATGCGGGTTTGTGCACTATAAATAATATGTTTACAGATATCATAAATCTGTTTGATATCAATTGGAAATCGCATTGATTAGTTCCAGTGAGAGCAAAAACTTTAGTTTCGATAAAACAGTTATAAATTTTATCTAAATAGCTAAATTCCAATTCTTATTGACTAATGTAAGCTTATATTTATAGTTTGCACATATCTCAAAAGTCGTGTAACATGCTTTAAGGCTAAAAACCAATTACTTGTTGTAATTTATTGTTACAAAAATAATCACAATGCATAGTGTGTGTTCTAATAAAAATTTCAAAATTTAAAATTTACTTGATAAAAAGGATTTCAATTTAACAAAATATATGATAATAAAAATATATTTTGTCGTGTCTACATTTTTCCGTCACATTAAGAAGTTTAAGCTTTTCTGTGGCTTAGTGGATATAGCTATGGGCTTCTGTTCCAAAGTTTTAGGTCGATACCCGCTTTGTATAGCCTGATGTCGAGCACCAGTGATATCTGTTTTCACAATATAGATAGCAATATGATAAAATTATTAAATATTCTCGTTTAACGCTTGAAAATACTTTATATATAATCAAATGGCGTTTTAGAATTTTTATTTATAGTAGTAATAGGAACTAGAAAAAATGAAAGTTTTAATTATATATGGTATTGCTTTTTTAACGTTTTAAATTAGTTCTACCGAATCTTGGAAACGGTTGGATCGGAGCGCCTTACCAAACAACACATCACCCCATTGGATTCGGTTTATCTATTTTCCAAGAATAACATCTTGCACACTTAATTTATCTATTGTGTGCCAAAGTAATCAAAAACATCTCGAAGTGTAAAAATATTAAACTAGTGGGGTGGGTGGCATCGTGCCTTAAGGCAAATTGCTGGAACTTCCCGTACCGTAACGAAATGTTCGAGGAATATTGAATGTTTTCAAATAGATTATTATAAATATTGTAACATTGTCTAATATTTATAAGAATTATATAAACTGAATGCCGGAGTTGAAATTATTTGTTTAAAGTATATTAGAACTATAGTCAGAATTAAAAATAAAATCTGAATTATTTTCGATATACAAAAAATTTAAAAAATTAAAAAAAAAAAAAAAAAACGGTACAAAATTTTTTTTTTCCAAAATCAATTATTTTGTAAGACAAGCAGAAAGTTCTTTGAATCAATTGAATCGGACGCTTAATTCTCTCAAAAACTGCCATTTTTTGTACATTTAGCTCTGTATCTCCGAAATGGCTGGGCCTGCCTTTGCGAAAAACTAATAACCCCTTCTCCCTATTATTACTAATTGAATGTTTTTTAGATCATTCAAATCGGATGCTCCGTTCTCTCAAAAACTCGATTTCTATTTTCTGCACTCTTTGCTCCTTATCTCCGTAACTGCTGGACCTGCCTTTGCCAAAAACTAATCAGCTCTTCTCCTTATCAATAGGAATCGAATGTTTTTTAAATTATTGAAATCGGTTAATCCGTACGCCCGAAAACGTGGGCAAAAATTTGTATCCATACATACATACACACACACACACACATACACACACACACACACACATCCATTTTTTCTGAGGTATGCCAAAACGTTCAGAAACCTTCAAAATGTCGAGAAATGTAAAAATTTTCAATTCTGATTTTCGGCCCATTACAATAACTTACCCTACGGGAAGTTAATTATTTTCATATTCGATTTTTTAATTTTGATAACTTACATAAGTAATATTAATTCTACTGTTTCTCGGTAAAAAATTATATATCAACAATAAAAACTTTATTAATCCTAATTATACATTTATTAATTGTCTCTTATTAAAAAATATCACTCTATTTATTATTACACCTATATTATTAAACACGTGAGCTTTTATTGAACACTCCCACATTGTACGCATCCATTTCGATGTCGGAACAATTTTCGCAGGAAGAAAGTGCTGAATCCATACTGGTTACGGTGTTTTGATTATGGTGGTCTTGACTATGTGAATTGACCAAGAGCGGTGTATCAGCACTTTTTAAAGCCTCACAATCAGTCGATTTTGCTGGTACACTTGGTGCTTGGGAAGAAGGTAGGTTACCACTGTTGGCATCTTCAATAGCTTTACGCAACTAAAATAAATAACGAAATAATTAGAGATATTATAATTAATGATATCGCAGCATGCTGCACAAGGGTGGGCACAGCATAAGTATTGAATTATTAAAGTCATGTATTGAATTGAATTTAAAGGCACACTGGCCATAACTTTGGTTGGTGATGAAAAAATTCAAAACATAAGTTTAAAAAATTGAAAATTATTTGGCAGTATATTACCTCTTTGAGTGCAACTACGCCGATCAATTTTCCGATGGTTGTCACATAAGCATGATTTACTCCTACCATGCTGAATAGCGAATGTACTTTCAATAGAGAGGTGCGTTCTACAAGTTGAAAAGGAGCTGGGTCAACATGACATGCATCAAAATCCACAGATTTAGACATTTCCTCTTGTTCCCACTGCTTTTGGTCTTCAGGTGACATGTCGCAAACACGTTCTCGTGGCTGCAAACGAATAAAGCAAATTATATTTATTTGTAATTTTTGTGATTTTAAAAATAGAATGGGAAAGCGGGAAAAGATAGTAATTAGTCTTTTTGAGCTAATTGGTGCGAAAATATCAATGTGTGGTTAGTTTTTCGCATAGTATACATACCAGCTGAACTTTTTTCGACACGGAGCTCGAATGCGCAACAGGAGGAGCATCGTCTGCTCCCGGAGTCCCAGGAGGTGCCACATCCTGCAAAGTCGCAGATTTGCGAAATATTGCATCAAATGCCAGTCGAACTCTAAAAAGCATATGCATATAAAAATAAGCACAATAAACATTCTGGAAATTCTCTAGAAAAAATTCATATAGCTAAACAACGTTTGTCGAAACAGCATATATCTATTACCTGCTCTCCGCGCCGGTGATTGTAGTGTAAGGTGTGGAAGATGGACTAACACTCATAAGTGGTGAAAATCCTTTCAATGTGAAAGAATTTGTTTTCTTTAGAATAGATTTTCGTGGATGTTGAACTCCACCGCTACTTAAAACTGAAATTGGTAATTCGCTATTTGCTATCCGCCGCAATGTAAGTATATCTGGTGCGGGTAACACTTCGAATCGCGACGAACGCCTCATACGATGTTGGCGTTCTAATTCTTCACGGGCCCTAAAATATATTTTTATTTTGTATTATGAAAAAATATTATGACTTCTGCGTATACATCAGAGTTGGTACAATTTGAGTTTACAGTATGTCAAATAAATGTTCAGTTTAGTGTGTATAGTACCTTTCTTGTGCTTCTTTTTGCCATTTGGCGGCAACTTGCAGTCTTTTATCGCGTCCTATTTGCTTATCTATTAACTTAATTAATTCTAATCGTTGCACCGATCCAAGAAGTATCATGCTTTCAGGATTGTCAACTAGAGGAAAGCTTCTAAGATGACGATTCTGTTTTAAGGTATCTTTCAAAGTTAGGTAGGAGATTCCATGCCAGATATACTTTACATCTCTGACCATGAAATCCTCAACGCAGATATTATACATGCCTGAAAGGAAAAGAAAATATTCACTGATAATTCAAATTTAAAGTGAATATTGTCGGTGACAACACTTCAGAAAATAAAATTTATCTGAATGATGATCTAGAAAAATAGTCGTTCGATATTTAAAATCAAACATATCTTTTGTGCTAAAATCGTTTTGTCCAATTTATATATTTAAATTATTAATAATATTTTTATATTATTCTATTAATCTAAACTGAAGTTTGCATGGCGTTATAAATATGTCATATAACTTACCGGAACTAGATGGCAACAAATCAGGTAAATAAGGCAATCGTTTAATAAGTATAATGCTATCGTATATTGAAGGCTGTAGCAAGGCAGCAACAGCATTTGATACTAATACTGCTATCATCATAGGTATAATATGAGTTATTTGTCCAGTCATCTCAAAGGTTATTACACTTACGGATATTGTATGAGTAACTGCGCCAGAAAAGGCAGCAGCACCAACGGTTGCGTAACCACCTATGAAATAGCAAAATGTTTTTTAATGTGCTCATGTAATAAACTGACATTATATTATAATTAATGTTGATGAATTAATTGACACGCATTTATTTCTCGCTCACGCATTATATCCATTTCTTGATAGACAAACTATTAATGCATCGTCTATAATAATATCAATTTGCAATCCTGCTTAAATGCGCGAACTTCTAATGGATGGAACTTGCCAAGGCAACTAGTATCTTTTCTTTGATGTGTGTCGAAAAGTGGTCACAGTTTGACCAAAGCTATAAATTATACTTAAAAGCTCTTAACTTTCAAATGGCATGGCTTAATTTTTCAACTTCCCGTAGGGTAATTAACTTCCTGTAGGGTAAGTTATTGTAATCGCCAAAAATCGAAATTGTAAATTTTTGCATTTCTTTACGTTTTGAAGGTTTTTGAACATTTCGGCATACCTCAGAAAAAATGGATGTGATTGTGTGTGTATGTATGTATGGATACAATTTTTCGTCCACGTTTTCGGCCGCATGGATCAACCGATTTGAATAGTTTAAAAAATATTGATAGGGAGATGTACGGATTAATTTTTGGCAAAAGCAGGTTCAGCCATTTCGGAGATATGAAGCAAAGAATGCAGAAAATAGAAAGAATTTTTGAGAGAACGGAGCATCCGCTTTGAATGATCCAAAGAACACTCAATTCGTAAGGATGGGGAGAAGTGATTATTAATTTTTGGCAACGGCAGGTCCAGCTGTTTTTTCCAGCAGGAGATACCGAGCTAAATGTGTAAAAAGGACAGTTTTTGAGAGAACCGATTTGCACGATTAAAAAAACTTTGATTGCGTTGACGAAACGATTGGTTTTGGGAAAGTTTTTATTTATTCATTATTATGTTTTCTTAATTTCCAAAATTCCAAATAGAAAATAATTCGAATTTTAATTTTAATTCAAGCTAGAGTTCTAAAGTTCACTTATATACTGCAAATAATTAATTTCAACTTTGCTATTCAGTTTATATAATTCTTATAATTATGATACAATGTCCTTAATTTTAAATTCGATTGAGTAAATTTTGTTTTTTACTTTTCTGTAAAGATATATAAGTTATATTATTTATAAAAATAATCTATTTGAAAACATTTAATATTCCTCGAATATTTCATTACAGTGCGAAAGTTCCAGCAATTAGCCTTAAGGTACGATGCCATAATATTTAATTATTTTAATTTTTTCTGGATCACAATTCTATCACGATTAAAAATTTTATTTTTCTGAACTAAAGAAGCCTTGTTTTTTCTCGAAATTTATTCTACGTTTCAGTAATATGAGATTTTTTTAAGCAAATTTGATATACTGAAACTATTTTTTTCATGAAACACTAAAAAGCAAATTGTACATTTACTACAAATCATAATTGAAAATATAGAGAAAAAACAAAAATGACTTCTTCTATACTCCCTCGAAATAGTTTATTATTATTAATAAATAAATGAATTCTATTAAACGAACTCTGAGTTAATCTTGTAAATATGATACATTTGAAATTGAAGATGCCACTTAATTCGTTCAATTAATATAATAATATTCCTTGATTTTTTATCAAGATATATCATGTTTCAAATTTGTTTTGTCTGTCAAGAAGTATTCTCAAATGTAACATATCATACATCCAGTTAGTCAGGAGATGACTTACAATGACTAGTATGTTTTCATGCGAGACGAAATATATTTTATTTATGAAAAGGTGTATGAAGAGGCTAATATTTCTTTATAAATAATGTTTGATTTATATTGTGTTACAATATCATATAGCTATGTTAGTATGAAGAATGAATAATGAAGATGATATCGTACCGGGATGAATCATACCAGGTATTATGAGTGCCTGTTGCCCGCCGTATCGAATTCCGGTCGGGAACCATAAGTGCATTAATTCGCCTACCATGCGCCCAAAAGCTGCACCAATTTTGAAAACTGGAATAAAGCTTCCACTTGGTACCGGTATGGTACTTGAAATTATTGAAAATATGAACTGCAACATAATAAAAAAATAATTATCTACATAATAATCTAAGTATTAATTTTATATATTATTTATTATTATATATCATAAGAAGAAAGCGGAAAGAAATATGATATTTAACCACATTCAAAACCCAACTACTGAAGCATTAACTTACTGTACCGTAAATAATAAGAATCCAGATAGGCTAATGAATACATCTGAATATGGTGTTATCCAATGCTTAACAACTTCTGCTTCTTGCACACTAAGGTTGCCCTTTGTCCATGTAAAATTTGTAAATAAGCCAGCAACCTGATCATGGGTATTTAAGTCGCCTGCCATAAACTGCCCAAATCCGAGAGGAAAAGACACTGATGCAACCAGCAGCGAAACAATGCCGGGGTAAAGAAAACGGCTGAAATTGAAGTCAAGTTACGATCAAAATTTCATATAAAATATTTTAAATCAAAATTAAATATATGACAAATATTATAAATAATGTAAATCGAAAATATAACGTTAAAATTAATTTAAGGGTGGACGTTAGACTTATTCAGGTGAATTTGTGATTGCACTAATTGTATATTGATATATTGTGAGCAAAATGCAAACTTAACCTTATAAAACGATTTTCAATTAATTTAGGCAATGTATGGCCTAACATGTAACCTAGCGCATAGTTACATTTAGTTTAAACTGTTAATAGAAATTCATAAGTTATACATCAGAATACATAAGTTAAGCAAGTTTTAGTAGTCAAAAATGCATGAGATTTGCTAATACTTTTCACATGCCGTTTTAAATTTATAATTTATCATTCATCTTACTTTTTTTGAAGAAACTTGTTTAGCTCTTTGTTTGAACGCATAAATAAAACATACTGTCTATGTAACCATACATAAAATGCGCCTCCTAATCCGGAAACTGCTCTGTAAATAAAAAATGTATTTATTAAATTTAAAATATAATAGTCAATGTGTAAATACACATGCACACACATATAAACGTCATTTCAAGAACTTTGCCAGAAAACAATAGCTTGGAAGTGAATTTTGAGCCAGCGAAATTTTCAATAAAATATTATCTCCGATGCTTTTAAGTGTTATATTCAAAGAACAAAAGAATATCAAACTAAAAAAGTTGTTACATTTATATTGGAGTTCTTTCTATTTTTGTCGACTAATTAATTAATTCAAGTTATTTAAATTGTATTCACAACATTATTATTCTTAAATGGACATTTTATTTACTTCTTAAAATGGTGTTTTAGACAAACTGAAATACATATGATAATTACCCGATAAGAGCAAATACGAAGAGCTCCTGAGGATCAAATGGGTAATCCATTGTGAAGTTGGTACGAAAAACTGCTGTTACTGTGTCAACTTTCTGAAACCATACTGCAAGTAATCGAAATACAGTTGCGCCGCAAACAGCAGCAAAGAAACCACGCCAATAGTTACGCACAGCAAAGTAAACTGTTGTTACTTCGATGCTCATAAGTACACCTAAAGATAAATATGTAACGAATATAATATATATTAATGCATTAAGAGGTGATGATCATTTATCTATCAAATACTATTTTATACCTCCAATTGGTGCTGCAAAACATGCTGCGACACCCACAGCGCAAGCTGCTGCCAACATCTCAGAGTTTCGCGATTCATTTTCGTAGATTCCTTGGAAGGAAGTGACCAGTTTGCTCAACAACTGCGCCACTATGCTTGCTATATGTACAAATGGACCCTAGTTAAAAGTTCGGTTATATATATTAATTTATTTAGTAAAATAATTAGTTTGGGAATTATCTGATAACTGTGTAATAATTTTATTATAAAAATAATTAGTTATTTGTAAAATTATATTGAAAAATGGGAAAAATTTTAGGTAATTGAAAAGTTTTTGAATTGAGTGAACTTTTTTTTAAAGTTTCTATAAATTAAATATGATAGTAATATTTAATATAAATATAATATATAGATTATAGCCAGTGGTGTTGTGCTAATATTTTTTTTGTCGGAACGCTAAAATTTAAAATCCAGTTCATGAACCGGTTCAAAAAATTTGATATATTTCAATAAGAACTCACAAATCTAACATATTGACTTCTTATATAATTAACTCTATTATATACAGCTAGTCTATAAATTAAATTGTACAAGTATGAGGGAATCATTGAGTACATAATTTATATTCTTTAATAACATTAATTATATTTATTGTGGTATTATTTGTATTCATTAATACTTACAAGTATTTATTATTATATAAAAGTACTTAAGATTTATTACAATACTTTATAAGACTTAATAATTACTTAACCTAATAATACGATAGATAACCTATTACCTATATTACTATACTATATTATTGTATATCATAGGTAGATATCTATTATCAATCATACCGTGAGATACCTACACCGTCATTAACTTATTATATACCTACATACTTTTTACTTCTTATAAATATTACTGTCTAATTTATATATTTACCTGTATTATATAGGTTTACTTTACGCCCTATGTATTATCTCTACCTATCTATTGTCTATACCGGGAATTGAACCCGGGACATCTGCGTGACGGTCGCGCACCTTAACCACTACCCTATCGGGTATCCCCACCAATAATATAATATGGGACGCACTGTTGTTACCGCGGGTCATTTTCTAATTAATTAGATAATTAATACTAAGGTGGCGCGACGACACGCGAAAAAAGACGGTTGATTGTAGCGTTACGGTGGTTTAGTGGTTAACGTTGTCGCGTTCCACGCGGCGGACCCGGGTTCGATTCTTGGTAGGGTTAATATAGCGTGTAAGGAAAATTATAGATAATAGGATATATAGTAGATATAGGTTAGGTGCATTCGGTATACAATGCAGGGATTTGAGAGTATATGATGAAATATAGCGTATGGTATAGATGTAAGGCTATAAAAATACACGAATAGGAACCTATGATGTAGGTGTTAGCGTAGAAGAAATGCGAATGAATATAAGATTTAATTTATAAATATTATTTTTTCTATAAGAATTTTTATCTCGGTATTAAATATCCAAATTATCCGTTAAGGCATCGATTACACCTTACTGCTGCCTTTGCCGTTATCACTTAATAGAAAATTAATTACTGCACTTTTAAACGATTGTGTGCACTGTGCGACAATAGACATAGAATTATAAATTTTATTAAATGTTTGAGTAACTTGTGCGAGCTAATTTTCTTAAGATGTTCTTAGTCTCGCAACTTACTGAATTCTAAAAATTCTAAATTTAAAAATATAAAGTAAAAATTATTATACCGCTGTCTGGAAGGGATGGAAATTTATAAATATACAGACTAATACATACAGAATTTGGAATTTTTCTGTAATCCGTAATATTGAGAAAGTTTGCATTAGACCTAAAAAGGGATGCTTATTTACCTAAGCTATGGAAATATATATGGAAAAATTATATGATTTGCACATGCATCTTGTGCTCACTTAAACTAAACAATGATCATAATGTATTTAACGAATTTTTAACAATATTTACAAATTACATTCAAATCACACAAAGCAAGTGGGTTAAAGTCGTGTAATTTTTTAATTTGCCTCCCCCCTTTGAATTTAAAAATGGATTTTTCTGTGGGGCGTGGGCCCCACGTTAGGAATTACTAGTCTAGGAGTACAATTTTTTAATCTACTACCAGGTTAATCAATAACTGAGTGATCATCAATTCCACAGCACCTTCCTCAGATTTTTAAAAGATCAAAGTTTCTATGAATATGCATACAAATCTCAAATTGTAGGCCGAAATTTAGACAATAAGTCTATTGAAATATCAGGGTAACTCTTTTGCTATAAATTGTCAACTAATTTACCAATAAATAATTGTCAATAAAGGAATGATTAAAGAAAATTACCAATAAATGTTGGATTGTAAAAATTTACAAGCGATCGAACGGCTTATATTTTTGCCTTAGATGGCAAAAAATTCATCCAATTATTAAAATATTACATTTTTTTGCAGTTCCTATGCTTTTGTATTTATAGAATTGCTTTTTTCGCTACAATCAATTTCCATTATATGAATGTCCATTATATGGATCAAAATCGCGATGTGTCCCAATGATCATCAAATTTGACCCATCCAAGTGTTTTTTAATTCAAACATATATACGCTTATATCTTACTACTAATTTTATACTTACTTCTTTGCCCAAAGGCATACCACTACCTAGTGTGGCAGTCAGTCCTACCACCTTAGCTATTAATGTTCGAAATGTTAGATACTCTTTCAATGTAACACCTCTCAAAATCGTTTTCATCTCAGGAATGCCGGAACCTATTTAAAATTACAATTCAATCAGTTATACTACATTGAACTAAATTTAGTAAAAACTAAGTACTTCAGTGACTCTGAAGCAAGATTTAGCCCCTCAAATTCATAAAGGAGAACCAATTTTTCTCACAAATCATCTTATAAACAAAATTAATCTTAGCACAAAATATATCTTACCTATACTTTGTGGTGCGACAAGATGAACAAAACCGGCTGAGAATAATATGAGGCATACGGGTAAAGAAACCCATGCCATGTACTGCATAACTGGATGGGAACTTAAATCTCTGTATAGCCAAATCCGGGCTGTAAATTGAAACCATATTTCATAAAATTTTACACATGACACGTAAAAAATAAGCATTATTTGTTTGTTTAGGTTGCAATTTAGTTTAAATGTTATTTATTTATGTACAATACAAAAATAAGAGCACAGTAAAACAATCAATTTCATATAACAGCCAATAGAATAACCACCAATCATATATAAAAAATGTACAATTAATAGTATTTCAGTCCTTGCGTTTGTAATATTTGCAAAATAATATTTTGGATAGATAGGATATTCTTTTTAAATATATTGTATATATAGTATTGATAAATTACTTAAAATTGGTGTCTTTCTCAATTTATTATACATTTTATTAATGTCTTAAATTTGTGCATGGTGCTTATTAACAATTAATTACTTATAATCCATTTATACTTTTATAAAAACATCATTTTTTGCGATCCAATTATATGAAATGTGAACTCTATGACCGTCGATCGTATTGTTATCACGTGGTCGATATAGTGAAACAAATAAAAAATTAACCATAATATATAAAATCATTTATTTACATTCAAAATTATTGAATACTTCAGTACAAAATAAATAATTTTTTTAACTAAATATAAATAAAATATCAAATTTACTTGAATTCCAAAAAATATTAAATTAAAGATTTCTATCCTTTCAATACCAATGACCACAAATAAATTTCAAACGCGTATCATTTTGATTTATCCAAATTTATTTCAAATCGATATAGATTTTTTTTATTATTATTAGTTTATTGGCCTTATAAGCAAGTACATTAACCTTTGTTTTGATTTGATTAAGTTTAAATAGCATTTCGAGTATCTAACGTACCCGCATTATAATTTATAAAGTTTTTATAACGAGATTTAAATTGTTGTTTGTATAATTCAATTATACAGGTCGACAAAATAAAAAAAGTCTGTATTGGGTACGACACATATGTTTTCCAATGTACTTTTTAATACTCGACACGAATCTGAAGTCAAAATTGGGGATCAAACTGCAAAAACGCAGAAATATAAAAAAAAATAACGACAAAATCACCGATCTAGTAATTCTTCTACTTGATAATTAAAATCTTATAATTTCTTTATTTATTTTTTGTTTGATTTAGTTTAATTATTTCATGGGTTTAATATAATATATATTTATCAATCACAATGTGACAGTCTGGACTGTGCTCTGGCCTATTACAGCAGGGGTGTGCATTAATATGTAGTGATAGGCTATCAATACCCAAAGAAAAATAAATTCAGTCGATTCCAAAAAAAAATCGTGCATTAATTCATAATGAAATTAATTTATTTAGTCTTTGCATAGATTTTTCTACTTTCTTACCATTGTTGCACATAGAAATTCCCCGATCCATAGCGAATGATAGTAGAGCCATGATAACTCCCAGCAAGGCGAGAAACACCCAATCTTCTCCAAGTCGAGCACACGTGTGTCTCCATATGAAACCGAGCACATCTAAAGTTCTGGACATACATGGACTCCTGTCTCCTAATAATTCTTTATTTCGATCCTTGTCATCTTTTTTCCTTCGTCGTTCTAATAACCTCAATTTGCGTGCTTCTTCTTTTGCATATTCTCCAAGATCTTTTGTATATCTGCCATACATCTAAAATTAAGATAGTATATTGAGCTATGTATTTTACAGATTACTTAATTTAATATCTAACATGACACAGCAACAAAATATAGAAATAATCAAATAAAATTTTATAGCATTCACAAATTTCACACACGGTATTCAGTAGGTACTATAGCACCTATTTACTAAGAATACTGGGCATACTTTCACAGTAACATTTTGCTGTGTCTAAGCACTACTTCAATAATTATTTGATTAAATAATAAATGATCAAAGTATAGTTTCAAGATTGTAGTAAATTATAGTAATAAGAATTATTAACACGGAAAATTCTTGTTGTCTATAATAATACCTTCAATAATGAAGCACTAAACATTAGATTCGGTGTTGGTACATTAAATTTTCGAAGCAATTTTAATCGCAAGTTACACATAGAAGCTATACATCCAAGATTATCTACATCTTTTCTTTTTTATACATTACAAACAGCAATCAAAACTTAAAGAAACATATATACTGTTATGTCTATTTAATAACGTGGCTTTCTAGAGAACAACCCAACGAAGATGAACTTATAACTTGAAATTTTCACACTGATGGTTTTTTATTGATGCGGCCATATCAAGGATGCGTTATTTTCACCTAACATCAGGCTATCCAAAGCGGGTATTAAAACTGGAATCTTAGAAGGGAAGCCCATATCTGCAAATCCCGAATTTACCAGGATGGTTATCCAAATCTACCTAATAGACACCCATGTCTATGAAGTTGAATTGTTAGACTATGATTGTTTGAAATTTATCGTGCCTTTGCCAATTATTCAGAGAGTACTGATATTAGAAATAGTTCAGAGAATACTAACAAACGTAAAGCTTAGATAGAGTTCTACGTAGAAAGTATAATTATATTAAAAAAAGAATTTTAAATATGTTTTATTTATCTCATAATTTGCAATATTGTTAAAGAGAGAGAAAATCAACACTTTGCTAAACTTGGTAAAACCATTATTTATATGTTATGTTACGTTTGAAAGTTGGTAAATATATTATAAAAATTACTCTTGCGAAAAGTTCTAAAAACAGATATTAGATACATAAATATCTAAGTACGCATATTATGTTAATAGATCATAAACTAAAAAAAATATTATTAAAAAACAGAGATTTTATCTATAACATTAATATAGTATTTCAAACATGTATGTTCTGTAATTGCACTTCATTTATTAGAAAAACAATTATTAGATAATATGCTTTAAAATTTAAATTTACTATATTGTAGTACAAATACGTACTTCATTAATTATTGTGAATTATTAATCTACAATTATTATTATTAGGACCACCCTAATATATATATATATATATATATATATATATATATATATTAAATTTTTTTATATAATATATATATAAAATATTTTATATATATTATATAATTTATTTTATATATATATATTATATATATATATTTATATATATATATATAATTTAAATATGAATAAATCTTGTTTGTAATAATCATATAATAAAGTAATAAAAATCGATCTAAACGTTTAGATAGAGTACAATTATTCTTCAATTACGCACCAACATGACAGAAATATGCTGTGAAGCTAATGGAGATTTTATTAAAGACGAGAGAAATGAATCTAATTTATATAATATATAATATATATAATATCAATAAAATACTTTTTGAAAGTTACATTCAAATGCGGGTTGTAATATAAATTAGATGTCTGCTCTTTGTCATTTTTTTTTCATAACAAATTATACAACAGTTATATATTTAGTATAAATAGAGACATAAATCATAAACATGAAAACATAATTAAGAATATTTTTTTAAGGAAGTAACCACAGGTGCTACTTAAATCTTATCATCATCAGCATGTTAATGTTGTCTACCAGATGCAACCTCCATCTTATCATCAGCATGTTAATAGTGTCCGTGGAATGTAAACATGATATTATTTAATATTTAGACTTTTCCAAAAAATCTATAGTTTATTCATTTGAATGTCTTAACAACCAAGTTTTCGATAAGATTACTATTAATTGTTGACTTTAACAAAATCACAACTGTTGATCTTGAAATAAATCTATCTGCAGCCAACATATTTCGAATAATGCGATTCGCAAACATTACATTTAATGTTGCTGGTCTGGACTTTAATTAATATTTTACTTACAAGGATATGTTCGTTTGGATAATAGCATTCCAATGGTTCTAATTCGTTATATTTTGAATTTTCAACAAATTTGTAGGATTGCATGCATCACAGTTATCTACGTCGATTGGTTAATTGGTAACTAAGAAACAATATTCACGAAATATATATATAACACTTAAAAATTACTTATCACATTTTGAACATTAATAAAATTTTACTTCTTCAAACAACATATTAAGCAAAACTAAGTGCCCAGAAAAATACTACTATTCGTATCGTTGTATCTAATAATACATACTTTAATGTGTGTTCACGAAAAGACGGTCAATCTTGATATTTTGCCAGAAGGTCTTATAGTAATACATAAGAAAAACACTATTGATTAAATTCTGTGTCAAATTAAACTATTGTTGTTATTGTTAGCAATCAAAACTCTGTGCATTTATTTAATGTTTAACTAAACTTAACTAAAAAATTTGTGCGAACATGTTCAAATTACGTGCGAACATGTTCAATTATGAAGAGTAATGGGCAAACACCCAAATACTGAAATGTTCGTTCAAGGAAAATTTTGTTTTTAGAAAATCATTATCTAAAAAGTTATAGAAACATAAACATTGAAAAATAAAATAACCTAAAAACTTTAAAATGAAAGTTTCGAAAATAATTATTTTTCAACATTTTAAATATTAAGAATAAAACAATTATACAATTTAAAATCAAATAGTCAATATTAATGCAAACGAAGTGCGATTGATTAGACTAATTTTTAATTAGCATAAAAGCTTGTGTTTTTTTATTGTATTATCCAAAATATTTTTTTTTCTTTGTGTTTGTAGACAGCTGTTTTGTTAGCTAGCATTATTTCAAGCAAGTAATTTTTTTATTCTGTTGAACAAAGCTTTAGTTTAAAATGCAGAAGCAAAATTAATATTTAACTGTAAATCATACACATGCTTCAAGGCCAATAATTATATAAAACTTTAACGTTCGTATTAATCGAAGTCATTAAAAACCAACAGCATCGATTTTAATGATTTTTTGATATCCCATATAAAACAAAAAGATATCCTGTAGTAATACCTAATAAAATGTTTTGTGCTTGAAGATAAGCAAAGTAATTGTTTCATAACAAATATTCACAAAATTTTGACAAGCAAACAGAAAGAGCTATCTATAAATTCAATGATAAGAGCCTGTTCAAGAGTTATTGCTTTTTAATAGCAATATGAAGTAGATAAACGATTTAGTAATTTCATTTTGTAAATCAATTATACATTTGTATGTCTCCAGTGACACCTCGTCCCGGATTGGCCAGAATAGTCCCAATTTTTCACCTTGCGTCCTGATTTTTTTCTAAAATAATTATTTTCAAAAATTTAGTTTTTTTTTGTCTCTGATTGCGCAAATTGAATCTTCGCTATTACTTAATAATAAAATTATAATAACCCATAAATTAACTGAAAATAATATATATATACGACAAGTATGCTTGCTTTGATGAAGCATTAAATAGTTGCTAGGAAATATATCGCCGAATCCAAAAATCCAAAAAGATGGGTTAAGATAGGCTCTCACTTTACAATTAGCCCAAAAAACAAAACAATTTCCTGTAGCAAATGCTTTAGCCAAGATAATAAGACATGACTTGAAGGAGACTAAAAGCGATAATTTTTGCTCAAGTTAACACGTTGACTGCGGGGTGCTTTGGACTTGTATTATTTTTTTATGCTAAAACGTTTATTTAACTAGTTGGTTTGGTATTTAGCCTTGAGGCAAGTTACATGAACTTCCCGATATGTGTAATTAATCGACTTAATCAATAAAAACTAAATTAAAATATGAGTGATTAAAGTATTCCGAGTGGATTTATTACACATAATTGAAAACGAGCGACCACTTTGACACGGAGTATTTTCTAAAAGTAAATTTTCAAAAATCAACAAGTGTTATAATTGAACCAGTTTCCATAGGACTTTAATGGCTTGATATGTTCATTAAAACCAAGTACTCTATCGTTATACGAAGTAAAATCGTCCAATTTTAATTTTAACAAACGTTAAAAAACTACTTATTTTCTTGAACTTTGATGATTTTTTTAAACTAAACTACTTGTCGTAGGGTCGTAATATTCCAATAAGTTGTATAAGACCATGATGTATATTATCAGAAAAAGTTTCATAAAAATCGGCTCAAATTTTTTTTTCAACAACGAATTACAAGAAAACGGCTCGGTAGATTTCCACCTAAAACTAATCAGTACCATTCCCAACTAATATCTTTCGAACGGTTTTTGATTTTTTAAAATCGGTTCGGTAGGATGAGCTTAAATGTGGACGAAAAGTTTAACACTTTTTTTCAAATTACAAACAAACGGCTTGGCAGATCGTCGCACAAAACTGACAAACGATAGTCCTCATCAAGATACATCAAATGGCTTTTAAATTTCTAAAATCGGTTCAGGCATTTTTGAGAAAACGTCGATGAAAGGTCTAATTTTGACAAATGCCAAAAAAAACGATGCCAAGTTTTGCAAACTTTGACGAATTTTTAAAGTTAAACCAATTGTCGTAGAGCCGTAATATTTTAGTATGATCTAGAAGACTATGGTATCTACCGTCAAAAAAATAATTATAAAAATCGTCGAAAAAAAATTTTTTAACACTTTATTACAAGAAAGCGGCTCGGCCGATCTCTACCAACAACTCATCAGCACGATTCCCAATCAATATCTTTCGAATGGTTTTTGAATTTTCAAGATCGATTTAGAACTGCGGGCTAAAACGTGGACGAAAAATTTTTCACTTTTCTGCTATTTACAAAGAAACGGCTTGGCTGATCGTCGCGCAAA